CTGAACAAGTTCAGTTGTTCCCATAGATGGGAATTTTATAGTGCCCTCAGGAGGTAGCAAAATCAGATGGCATGCTAGAGTCTGCATTTTTGGCACAGTTGTCAACATAAAATGTTTTAAAGGAGAGACAAGTCCCATCTAGATGGGAAGAAAAGTACAGGGAAGTTTCACAAAGGACCTTCCATAGCACATGGCCCTGAACATGGGTAAGAACCAATAATTAGAGATTCAAGGGGGTCATTTAAGATAGAAAAAGCAACATCAACAAAGATATGAAGCACAAACAGCAAAGCACAAAGAGCAAACAGTTCTACTGACCTGGAAAAAATAACAAAATCTAAGGGAATGCAAGAAATGAATTTACCCATAGTGTCTCTGCCAGTCTGTTCTGTGTTAATTCAACCCACAATGGGGAGCTGTTAAAAGTCTTAACTAGGGAAGTGAGATACCTGGAAGTGAGAGAGCAGTACACAGCATAGATGGCGGGGGGGGGATGTTGGGGGTGGAGTTCCTACAATAACTCAACGGCATGGTATCAATGACCCCAAATAAGACTGATGACAGCAGAAATGGAAAGCAGCAGATGACAAAAACAGTGGGGAGTCTAGCCGCAAGACCTGGCAACAAAGTGAACACAAGGGGAGAGAAGGAAGGCAAGAAGGCATCTAGAGGCCCCAATCCTCAATCTCAGTAGTCACAAGGACTGTCGGTACACACAGCTGGGATTAATCAGAAAAGTGACAAGAATGAACGAAGTGCTACTGTCTATCTTTCTAAAGGCTAGCTGGAGTTACATGCTTCTACCTTTTTATCCTTTGCTCTGCCTGAGACAAAGTTACTTCTCCATCTGATGCCACCCACCTACCTTTTTGATACAAACTTACCTCCCAGTTTCTCTAACAAGAACCTCCTGGAATCACCCATGAGCATTTCCCCTTCTCCCCTGCCTCCTGACCATCCTTTCTTGTATCTTCCGCTCTTCTTATTCTTCATCCCCCAGGCTTACCCAGTCATGTCTTAAGGCAAGCATCAGCTTCCCTGTGGAACCTTTCTCAAATATATGGGTTTCTTCTCTTCCCAGATTCTCCTACCTACTGTCTAGGAATTCTAGAGGCAATATGACCAGTTATCAGTGTCCTGTGTGCCCTGTTTTCCCACAACTATCTCTTAGGCTAATCAGAACAAGTCTCTTACCTTACAGGTCTTCAGTTCCCCCACATTCTTACTGACTTGCACATAATATGTATTCATGAGACACTACTGATGATCCAAAGTCAATTACTCTAAGAACATGCACGTCTTATTCCCTCTTTAATAATTTACTTTTATTTAACCACGACCACACACGTAGACTTGCAAAACAGTGAGATTCATCACTTAATACTTCAAGATATCCTAGAGTGAAAAATCTTTCATCGTAGGAGCTGTTACTGCCTTAAGAGGTGATCTGAAAACACAGTTTGGTCATAAATTTTTGTGCCGGCTTCCTTTTAATCTTTTTGACTTGAAGGTATGCCAAACAGCTCAACGATCATCACTCCAAAGTGATTTTGACTTAGAGATAGCCTAATTTTCCATGAGGACTACTTTACTTCCAGGAACCTAATAAGTAATTTTGTTTTACCTTCAAGTTCAACTAGGTATAGTATAGACAACTCAAATTACATCCACAAAAAAGTTCCCAGTTTTTACAAAATAACAGCCGCTTTCATTGGTCTCTCTCTCTCTCTCAATTTGATTTAGTTCACACGTTCCACTCCTCCCTCGTTTGTGAGGGAAGCGCAAACAGAAATGAAGTTTACTGAGGAATCTTAAAAATGAGCAGTGTCAAAAAGAAACCCAAAACATTCGTGGGACACCATCCTCCCCAAACCTGCTCTCATCACGAAGATATTTCGTCTTGCAAGCAAGATTCCCGAATTAACAATGGGGAGAAGTGCCAGAAGGAAAGGAAACCAAAAAGGCGTCCTTTGCCTATCAAACTGACCCGGTCCCCCGAATGTCTGGCTGCCAGGAAAGCAGTAAGCAATGACAACCGCTACCCAGTGCGCTGCAGATTCCCGCTCAAGCTTTCCCTGGACTTTTCCTTCTCCTCTTCCCACAGCGGAGGCCCGCTCGCCCGTCCCTCCTCTGCGCCAAGGTGCGCAGCGCTGAGGGGTCTCGCACGCAGGTGACCTCACACAGCGCGGCCCGGGTCCAGCCGTCCTCCCCCGGGGCCTGGCTGTCCGCCCCACCTTCCCGGACGAAATCGCCCGGGGCCCGCAGTCCGGGCCCGAGCCCCCAGTCCAAGCTGGACCTCACTGCTCGGGGATGAGGGGCGCAGCTAGGCCGTGCCCCCAACCCTCCCTTCCCCAGCGCGAGCGGGCGGACTCCGCGCCCGCCGGGACCAGGGGCGGCGGGGGAGGGGAGGGTGGCGCGGCCACCGTTACTGCGGTGGCTGCTGCGCCCCGACGCGCGCACGACTGGCCCTTACCGCAGCGGAGAGGGAGGCAGCGGGGAGGCGGCGCCCGGCCCGACGCGGGCGGGAAGGCGAAGGCCAGGGCGCAGGCGGCCGCAACAGCCGCGGGGGACCCCGGCGGGCGCCCACGACGCGGTGGGCTGCATGGGCGCCGCCATAGTGGGGACGCAGCGGCGGGCGGAGCGCGCGGCCGCGACCCGGGGACGACGCGACCACCAATCCCGCTCTCCGCCTCAGCGCCCTCGCCGGGGGTCGGGCATCCGCGGCCAATCGGGCCGCGGGAGCCGGGCGGGGCGCCGGGCTGACCAATGCAGAGCTGCGCTGCGGCAGCGGGCGAGCGCAAGCTCGTGGAGACCCAATAGGCACCCGCACCCCCAGTTTCCCGACCCGCCCACCCCACCCTCAGCGGGGACCCGGGCTGTGGGAGGTGCGGAGCAGCGTCCGGCCGAGGCGGCCCGGCCTGCAGGTCAGCGGGGACACCTCGCCTCAGTTTTCCGGAGCACATCCGCCGCCTGGAGCAATTCTCCTCCCCCGGCTTCATGGCCGGGAGAAGAACGTCTGATGCCCGCGGGCGTGACCCAGCTCCTCGGGAGCCTGTTTCCTCGCAGGCGCGCGAAGGGCCGGCGGCCGCCCGGGCGCAGATGCAGGCTGGCCACCATCATTCCACAAGGGCCGCAGCTGCCGCCGGGTGCCCGGCTGAGCGCCGCTGGTGGGCTCCCTGAGGCCCAAGGTTTGGCAGCCTCTACGGGCTGGGCGACCCTGCCCTATCCTGTGGCGTATAAGGAAACAGGGTTCCCTGCTGTATTGCCCATTTCAGTGTGGCAGAAAATGCTTAGTCCGCGCACAGGACCACTCGCCCTGCAGCTCCCGAGGTCCCAGCTCTCTCCCACCCTACAGTCATTCCCGCCCCTGAACACCAGCATATCCACCTGGAGCACCATTTGAAACGTTTACCACCACTGATGGGATGGACAGAAGGGAGAAGGTACTGTCAGGCTGCGATCCTTGGTTGCCAACCCAGAGATGCCACCTTAGGAAAGGAGGGCAGTTTGCCCTGACAAAAAGGCTTCCCTGGAATCCATCAGAGGATGGACTCCAGCCTGGGCCTGACTGCACTGGCAGGCAATGAGGAAGAGGCCTGTTCTGTAGGATTTGAGCAAGTTTCATCCCCTCTTTAAAATTCGGTTTCCCCGGAGTTATTACTTAAGCCAAAATCCAGAGTGCATAATGTCTAGAAAGGTCAGCTGCTAAGAGCTTTGCTTGGGTTAGACCAGGAACTTCAGCCCTGCAGGTCCTTCAGCAGGAATGGGGATGGAGATGGTGGGGTCTGTGAGAGGTAGGAGGGTCTGGGACCCTGCCAAGTCTAGAGAAGTGTGTTCCTTCCCTTCAAAGATATGTGCTCCCAGGGCTCAACAATCCATTAAGACCAGTCCCACCTCATCTCCCAAATGAATTGTTGGATGCTGGACAAAAATTCAGCTTCCCTTTCTTGGCCCCAGGAGGGAGTTGGCATAGAAAACTATCTTTGAAACCTGCAGCTCCTCCCTTCCCCCCCACAATCAGACACCATGTAGCGACCACCTCCCAAGCCCGGGATATAAAGCAGCCTTGAGAATTGCTGAGCTGACCCAAGCCTCTAGCCCCTAGACAGGCCATGAAACAAGTGCCTGGTCATCCAAGGGCCAGCTGGGAGTCTGGCTCATAGTCACTGGCGCCTCCTTGCCCTGCTCCTGCTCCATCCTCAACCACCTATACCCCAGGAACCCACCAAAGGGACTGGATCCTCCAGGGAAGTTTCTCACCAACTACAGGCAGCTCAAAGTAGCTTCAAGACCCCACTGGATCCCACTGGGGGCCAAGTCCCTTAAAACGCTGTTAGGCTGGTTCCACAGTTTGCATGGAACACATGATATTAAGTTGGACCAGCCCGGTGAAGATAATCAAGTGTAGCAGAAGTGAGAGACCAAACCCTGTTTGACTGTGAAAGTGGTCTGGTCCTCCATTCCCTCCTTCCCATCCCTAAGGCAAAGGAAACAAAACAAGGTGCTCAGAGCCACAAGTGCCTCTGCCTCCCATGTGTCTGTCACCTTGCCTGGTCTAGCACACAGCCACGGGACCAGACCTTGACAAGGAACCCATCGCTTTTAGGATAGCTTCCTGGGTCCTGCTTGAGTCTTCTTAAAATACCTGGCCCTGGGGGCACCTGGGTGGCTCAGTCGTTGAATGCCTGCCTTGCGTTCAGGTCATGATCCCAGGGTCCTGGGATTGAGCCCAGCATTGGGTTTCCTGCTCACTGGGGAGTCTGCTTCTCCCTCGCCCACTCCCACTGCATGTATTCCCTCTTGCGCTGCCTTTCTGTCAAATAAATAGATATTAAGAAAAAAAAAAAAAAAAAACCTTTAAAATACCTGGCGCTGCTCCAGAATTTATGACTAGATATACCCCCAGCCTGACCCTGGGCCACTCAGGCTCCTTGGGGCAGACACAACCAATCCTCTGCTCAACACATTTTATTGCTAAGGACAAGGTGATGCACCAGTTTTCAAAATAATTTGGTTTATAGCGTTCATACGTAACAAAAAACAGGGAAGTATTATAAATCTGATTCTTGTATACACAGGGTATAGGTGTGAAGCCCTCCAATCCTGGGCCCAGGCAAACAAATTCATGAGGAGCAAAAACCTGTTTAACCCCTTCAGTGTTGCCCTCCATTCCCACCCCCACCCACAAATCAGCTCCCTCCCACCCCCAGACCAGGGACATGTCTAAACCTGCCCCTGGTCTCCAATGGCCCCAATTCATCTTAACCCTCCCAGCCCCTGCATGATTGCAATTTTCTGTTGACAGAATCACCCACCAGGCTCTGCCTGCTTCCATTGTTAAGAACCCCCTTCAGGGTGTTCCCCAGCCATACCCTCTAATACTGTGCCACAGAGGCTCTGTGCCTAGCATGAACAGGCACACACCCATGTTACCCCCAGTCTTCTCCTCCAAGACAGGACGAGGAGGCATTAACTCTGTGACATCTCGATATGCAGCTTTGCCAGCACTCCCTTGAGGCAGTTCCAGGGACAGACAGATGCCACACTCCATCTCCAGCCAACCCCCAGGAGCCTTTACTCAGCTCAGCTGAGGGCAGAATTTCACATTTTGTTGCCCTGGACAGGCAAAGAAGAAAGTAAAGGCCAGGGGCTGGCAGAAGCTGGTCCAACCACACACACACACACACACACACACACACACACACACACACACATACATAAATACAAAAGGGGGAGGGAGTAAACACCAGCACCTCGGCCTCATTGGTGCAGGTGACTGTTAGGAAGCTAAGTCCTAGGCAACCAGCCCGGCCGGCAGTCAACCCCACTGCAGACCAGGGCCAGTGCAGCCCCGAGTTTCAGTGCTCAGCCCTTCAGCGGGGAGATAGGCGGTGGCTGCCACACGTCCAAGAAAGGCTGTCCTTTCACTACAGCGGAATGCGACGGGGAACAGGGGCGTGAGAGGATGATGGGGTCGGTTATTCCATTCCTTTTCGTTTTACAACTTCACTCGCAGAGACTTCAGAGTTCCAAGTGTCTGCTGTGCTGTGGAACCCCAGAGTGCTGTCGCCTTGATGGCTGGGCACCTGCTGGCCCCCAGAAGCACCTACTCCATGATGGCTCGGTATAGTGCAGGCTCGATGTAATCCTCCCGGTATCTTGAGTTGATCACTCGTTGCCGTTTCTTTTCCTGCTTAACCTCCTTCTCCGTGAAAATCTCATTGAAGCGCATGTCGGAGGCTACAGACTACAGAAGAAAAAGCAAGCCAAATGAGCACTCTGTAGCCAACCACCCGGAGGAAAGAACAAAAGGACACACCCTTGCTTTGTTCGCTCCCTCCCACATGGGAGCCAAGGGCACACAGAAAGCACACTCACCAGTCAATGGCATACAGAAAACACACTCAGCAGTCAAGGGCACATAGAAAACACGCTCACCAGTCAAGGGCACACAGAAGGCACACGCACCAGTCAAGGACACACAGAAAACAGGCTCACCAGTCAAGGGTACACAGAAGGCATGCTCACCAGTCAAGGGTACACAGAAAACATGCTCGCCAGTCAAGGGCACACAGAAAGCACACTCACCAGTCAAGGGCACACAGAAAGCACGCTCACCAGTCAAGGGCACACAGCAGGCACACTCACCAGTCTGGATTTGACCCTCTTGGGAAGCTCTTCATCCAGCGTGTACACGTCATCTCTCTTAACCACAAGCTGTGAGCCATCCTCAAATTCCACCTACCGAGTAAACAAAGACCTTTGGCTGTGATATCCCTGACTCCCTGGTCCGCTGTGCACAGTGGCAATTTCCTGCCATCAGAGGAAAGATCCAGAACACTGAAAAAAGGACTACCAAAATGAAGCCGCTTCTGGCAGACAGGACACAGGGCAGACGCACGCTCTGAAAAGGTTACTAACCGGTGAGCTCTCCCTAGAGCTCTCCTCAAGAGGAAACACTGAATCAATCAAGTATTTCCCCAGCAGCCCACCCCCCAAAAAAACCTTTGGCTACCTGGTACATCTGGATGGGGTGGGAGGCCACAAATTTGGCTCCGTAGACTTGGCCATCTGTCCATCTCACTTGGACCACTTCTCCTTCAGCAGGAGGACCCAACTGGAGACAGTCCTGACTCTGAGGGAACAGGAAGTGAGAAGAGTGAAAGGAAGATCCCTCATCACCATCTACTTAGGGAAGAAGGAACCAGGACAAATTCCTGCTCAGATGTCTGCCCAAGCAAGGCAGCTCTCGCTGGGCGGAAAGATACAAGTTAAAGAACTACCCGCTGAGTCCGGGTCAGCCCCGTATCTCTACTCCTGACGCTCTGAGGTGACATGACAGGAAAGGGCAGCCAGAATAAGCTTCCAGTAAACTTAATAAACACAGTGCCAAGATCAAGAATCCTTCTCACATTCCTTTAACTGTCCTGCTAAAGATCGGAGGACAGAGCTCTGCCCTGAAGAAATACTAGAATGAGGATCTCAGAGTATAAAAAACGTTATTCGCCTCTTTCTCTGAGTTGACCTTTGCAGCTATGGTGTAAAAGCTCTAACAGGTAAAACTGCTTATTTCTCAGCACAAGGCAGCGGCTGCGAGCATTAGCAGTTGTTATCGTACTCCTCACCGCTGTGCGCTAATTTAGGGGGGGGGAGAAAAAAAAAAGGAAAAATACCTGGTTTCACCTAACAATGTCTCTTGATGAAGCAGAAAAACTTGCTTTGTCAAACCTTAGTCCTTGAGTACATGTGAGCACTCAAAGGCGGACACTTTGGCCACCTGCTGAAGAACAATGGTGATCTTGAGGAAAAGCGCCGTGTAACCGACCTGTGAGCTGTTTTTTCATGGAGCGCTGGCTCTATTTGAAAAACTGGCTGACAAACTACGGTTATTCAGACTTGAGTACTGGCAGACATCCTCTTGGAAATGAATGAAATAAGCCTGTCACTTCAAGGAAAAGAAGTCATAGTACTGCCAATAATAAAACTTAAGCTTTTAGAAAAATTAGAACTCCAGGGAAGTTGTATCACCACACTAAGCTTGAAGCTTTGCCAAATTTAAAGATACTTCTGAGGGGCACCAGGTGAAGCACGTGACTCTTGATCTCGGAGTCGTGGATTCAAGCCCCATGTTGGGTATGGAGATGACTTAAAAAAAAAAAAATCATTTAAATAAATAAATTTATTTCTGAGCAGTTATATTAATAAATGTGGTATGTTGGGTTTTTTTTTTAAAGATTTTATTTATTTATTTGACAGACAGAGATCACAAGTAGCCAGAGAGAGGCAGGCAGAGAGAGGGGGGGAAGCAGGCTCCCTGCTGAGCCACCCAAGCGCCCCATAAATGTGGTTTTTGATACTGTATAATAAAAATTTAACATTTAGGAGCACCTGGGTGGCTCAGTGGGTTAAAACCTCTGCCTTCGGCTCAAGTTGTGATCCCAGGGTCCTGGGATCGAGCCCCGCATCAGACTCTCTGCTCAGCGAGGAGCCTGTTGCCTCCTCTCTCTCTCTCTCTGCCTGCCTCTCTGCCTACTTGTGATCTCTGTCAAATACATAAATAAAATCTTTAAAAAAAATTAACATTTGGAAGATCTTCATAGTCTAATGCATGAGTACTTTCTAAATACACAATGTATGATGTTATGAAATTAGGCATAAGTAAAGATTCATTCTCAGTGCAACATAAGCCAGTGGATTTTAATATAAGTTCACTTACCTACTTTCAGATTCCACCCTGCAACTAACTTTTAAGAAGCCACTCCTCATTGACTTTTGGTATAGTACCCAAAGAATAATCACAATGGTATGAAAGGCTATTAAAACACTCCTCCCCCTTCCATTTACTACAGAACTGTGTGACACTGAATTTTCTTCATATACTTTTAACCAAAACAATACATCACAACGGAATGAATGAAGATACAACATTAAAGAGATTTGCAGAATCTGGGGTGCCTGGCTGGCTCAGCCAGTAGAGCACGAGACTCGATCTCAAGGTCATGAGTTTGAGCCCCAAGTTGAGTGTAAAAATTACTTATAAATAAAAATCTTAAAAGAATAAGGAGATTTGCAGAATTGTAGAAAAATGGAATTCCTCCCTCTAATATTGCTTTAAAATGGTTACTTTTCAATTAAAAAACCCAGATTGTTTTAAGATTTTATTTATTTAAAAAAGATTTTATTTATTTATTTGACAGAGAAAGAGATAGCATAAGCAGAGGGAGCAGCAGAGGCAGAGGGAGAAGCAGGCTCCCCACTGAGCAGGAAGCCCAACGTGGGGCTTGATCCTAGCACCCTGGGATCATGACCTGAGCCGAAGGCAGGTGCTTAACCAATTGAGCCACCCAGACACCCCATTTAAAAAAAAAAAAAAAAAAAGGATTATTTTAAATCAGTTATCTCCATTTTAATTTCCAATAAACGCCGATAAACATTACCTCCCCCCCCAAAAAACAAAACAAAACAAAACAAAAACCTGTGGGGTCCTCAGTAACTTTTAGAAACAGAGTCCTGAGGTCACAGATTTGTAAATTAGAGATACCCCCACCAGCTTCTCAGAACTGGTATGAAAAGTGAGATAGACACCTGCCATGAAGCATTTAATATAGCGCCTGGTAGACTAGAAAAGCTTGGTAAGTTACACCTATTCTACTGCCACAGATACTATTAACATCATCTTTACTGTGACTTAAGTCTACCTTGTAACTAATGAATGTGGTTTTAGCAACTAGGTTGCTAATGCAGTATAAAGGTGGGAAATACCAGATTTGTTAAAGGCAGAAGTAGCTTCATCCCTCTACCTTGGTGCTCAGTCTAACATACGAAAAGGCAGAGTGAGGATAAGGGAAACTTGAACTAAGTCCTCAATACTGAGCCAGGAAACCTAGAAGTGTGGGTGTCGGTTGTCAATAACTTAAGCAGGCCAGGGATAGCTCCTAAGTAGTTCCTACTTGGCCCAGACGCCGTCACCTGTAAAGAACCAAACCAAGGGGCGCCTAGGTGGCTCAGTGAGTTAGGCCTCTGCCTTCGGCTCAGATCATGATCTCAGGGTCCTGAGATCGAGCCCCACATCGGGATCTCTGCTCCGCAAGGAGCCTGCTTCCCCCTCTCTCTGCCTGCCTCTCTGCCTACTTGTGATTTCTCTGTCAAATAAATAAAAAATAAAATCTTTTAAAAAATAAAAAATAAAAAAAAAAGAACCAAACCAGATTCTATGTCTACTAAGAGGGCACAGACAGGAAAGAGAGTTGGCTAATTCTCCAAAATCACACAGCTACTGATATGCAAACAAGCTGGTATTGGCCCCCTGGTCAGATTCCACTGCCTGCGCTCTTGCACTGCCTTACAGCCCCTTGCAAGGATGGCTTAGACTAAAGAAGCACGTTGCAAAGTACAGCAGAAAACAAAGATTCCTGTGAGCTTCCAGACGGAGCAGGGTAGCCCAGCAGCACACAATTTTCTTGGTGAGGAAAGACCAACACAAATGCTCCTTTCTGTTCAGGGAAAGACTGATGGAACTTCAGGCCGGGCTAGAAATGGCAGGCAGGCACACAGTCAGTCTGCCGGCCAGACCTAGAAACACCCCCAGCCCAGACCACCCAAGCAGCTCCTCGCAGACATTACCACTATGTCCTCGGGATAGAGATTGTCGCTGAAGGAACCATCATCAAAGTTGACTTCATAGAAGGTCTCAGTGGTGAGCCTGACCACCTCACACTGGTAGAAGCGCCCATTCTTGTGCTTGCTAATGACCTTCTGGCCAGCGGTGATGCTCTGCAAGGCCCCCTTGGCACGCTGGGAAAAACAGAGGCGGAGGTTACTCCCACATCCAGTTGCCAGGACTGGAAAATGGGGACCAAGATCAGTTGGTTTTTCTTTCCCAGGGAGAGACGAGCACGGAAATGAAAATGTAAAAAGGACTAAGGGTGGCAGGTGGACCTGGACTTTTCAGATACCCACACCTCTACAGGGATGCTACGAAACACTAGCATCCCGTTCTCCTCCATAAATGCAGCACCTCCTAAATTCCCAGTCCATACTGTCTTACACGGCCCGCCTAGTTCCCTTACCCCAGACTGTCTCCCAGAAGAGACCTTTGTCACTTCCTTACTGCTGCCTGACACGGACCTCTTCCCGCACCCACTCCTGCACACAGCTCAGACACAACAGGGTGGATACTCCTCAGGAGACCCAAGCCCAGGGCCCCAGACATTGCTCCACGCTCATCTCAGCACGAGCTCTACCCTCAGAGCTACAGCACAACGGTCAAGGTCCCCCAGAGGTCCTCAGCTGCTTGTGACCAGGGACTTTAAGGGCCCTGCCGGCTCTTATTCTGAACTTGCCCTTGATGCAAATGGTATCCCAGAGCATCTGGTGGCATCCTCTCCAACCACTCTCCCCCGAGTTCCCCAAGCACTGTTGCTCTGTCACACTGGCGGCCTTGCTGACCCTCAGCATGTGTGCTGAACAGGCCCACAGCTCAATCTTAGCCCCGCGGGGCCCTTCTACCGGAAATGCTGTTCCCCAGTCAGCTGCACACAGGCCCCCTCACATCCCAGTGTCAACCTATGGACACTGTGGCTTACTACGCCTCTTCCACTCCCCTTATCCTGCTATGTTTTCATCTACCACACTCCTCCCCATCAGATACACTGTATGTTTACATGTCTCTCCCAGTCTTTCGACTACATGTAGCAGGACAGGCTCAGTTTTGCCTGGTTCACTGGAACACTCCCAGCACCTACACGGGAACCTGACACGTTGTAAGAGGTGCTCAGTCAGTATTTGAAGGGTGAAAGAGTGAAAGAAATACTCAACGGTTCCCCCTTTTCTCACAGCACCAGGAGTCTACGGCTGCCAATTTAAGGATACGGAGAGCCGATGGCAATCCCCAAGTCACTGTCCTGACTCCATAACCAAACTCCTGCCCCCTGAGCCATGAAGGCTCAGCACAACCACACCCACCACCCCTCTAGTCTCTCCCTCACAAAGAATAGCTTCCCTCTTGCTGAGCTCCTCACCCACCTGATCATCTCTTGTGCTCAGTTAAAGATCTTTATGAAAAAGAAGAATCCAGTCAGCCAATAAGGCCTCTGCCATGATGCCACATGGTAGTGACGGGTTTGCTCCTCCAGACCAGTATCTCGTGTCCTGCACTACCATGTTCACTGTACTGCTGACAGGCTTTATCGCGGCCACTCTTATTCAACTCTAACTCCCCCAACTACAGTCCGGCTCCTGACCGCAAGACCCCATGGCGACTCTGCAGCATGGGGCACCAATGAACATGACACCAGAGCTGCCTGCCCCAGAGCACACAGCCCCCGCTTTGAATCCACTACCAGAGTAACTGTTAAGAAATATGGCTCAAAATCATAATTTTTGAGAAGTTCTCATCTAGCAGAAGAGGACTCAAACTCCCAAGAAGGGCAGTCCAGGGCCTCAACCACCAGCCCAGCCACATTCCTAGAACCAGTCTTACGTGTCTGTTCTCCTGAGACGTGTTTGCTCTGCTTCTGAAGCCCTGAAAGCCCTCCCTCTCACAATTCCTACTTCCTTTTTTTTTTTTTTTTTTAAGATTTTAGTTATTTATTTAACAGAGAGAGATCACAAGTAGGCAGAGAGGCAGGCAGAGAGGGGGAAGCAGACTCCCTGCCGAGCAGAGAGCCTGATGCAGGGCTCGATCCCAAGACCCTGGGATCATAACCTGAGCCGAAGGCAGAGGCTTAACCCACTGAGCCACCCAGACGCCCCAATTCCTACCTCCTGTTGAAGTCCCACTTCAACTGCCACCTTCTACCCAAACCCTCTCATAACTCGTCTAGCTGGGATGACAGGTAATTTTCTCCAAGTTTCACTATTTAGAGAAGCACAAAAATGTCTACCGTATGCTCATTAATGGCTAAGTCCTCCGAGGTCTCTCCACCAGTTCACACTATCTGCCAAGCCCCCGCTGTGTCCTGGACATGGTGTTAGGGAACAGGGGCACTCCCATTAAGAAGCTAGGGCCCCTCGAGGAGGAGTGGCAAACAAGTACACAGTAATCACAAGGACTCAACCACAAGCAGTCTGGTGCCAGGAAGGGAGCAGAGATGGACCGGGGCTGCCTCTCTGTCCCTTCCTCACCGGAATGCTCCACAAGGCAGAACGCCAGAGAGCACACTTGCCGACACAGTTAATGGACAGCCTGCAGAGAAAATGATCCTAGGGACGGGTAAGAGGATTGCAGACCAGCATCCTCCCTCACCTCCAGACTGGGGATCTTGTGCCGAAAGCAGGTAATGAAGACGACAAAAGGCCAGTCGTCGGGCTGCATCACCACCCCCGCAGCCTGGGCGCAGGTCACGTGGAAGGCGGTCGGGCAGCGGCCGTGAGAACACTGCACACAGCAGCCGGCGGTCCTTTTCCTCCGCTTCTTGCAGAAGACACATTTCTACAACATGAGGGAGGCAAGCCAGGGACTCCGGGAGCTACCAGCGCCGTCTCCTCTGCCCTTCCCCAGCCCAGATGCACAGAGCCCAATGAGCAACCTTCCTCCCATAACAAGAGGACACACACACCTCTTCCAAACTCCTATCTGAACACATTGTGTTCTCATGAAATAGTGTTAACCATACTGTGACTCAGAGACTCTGACCAAAACCAAGGGTAAAGAGGAACACTGGGTCACGTGGAGGAAAGGATGCCCCCAGAACTGTTACGCTCTCCACCCAGAGACATGTAAATGGGGCAATGATGGTCAGAGTCCCCAAACTCATCTCTTCCTTACCAGTTTGAAGCGGGGCAGGGGAATTTTGCTCACATCCACTGGACTTCTTTCGGCAATGTTGACAAACCTTGCTTCCAAAATTGCCACAGCACAAGACACGTGGACCCACCTGCCAAAAGGCAAAGGCCACCTCAGTCACCTCTGGCTCCAAGGCCCTGCGGCCTCCTCATCAAATCTATCAAGAGTCAAGAGCGGGTGGGCCTGCCCACAGTGCTCCGTCCCCAACCCAATATGGCCTCTTACTTCCACCTGCAAGGTCCCCGGGCCCAGCAAGGTAAGAACCAGGAGTGTCTCCACACTGAGTATGGGGATGGGTCCCCAGAAAACCACCCTGGGTTAGCCCAGGGTTGTGCTTCTCACACCACAAATTCATTCCCAGTCTGCTGCAAAATGGGTACAACCATAGCTAATTGAGTGGGGCAGGTTTCGAGGAGTGAAAAGAAATCTGAGAGCTCTATAAAAGACCTCTTTTACCACAGAAGCAGGGTGGTAATGTCTCAAAATGTCTCCCCGTGCGCCCTGTCTGCCAGTAGCCATAGATCTCCCCTCTAGGCCTTTACCCAAACTCTTCCCCGGGGCTGAGATAACCTCTCCCTCTGCTCCCTTCATCCACAGCACCCTCATTCATTAAGGTCTGGCCCAGGCCTTACCCTGACGGGTCTGTTCAATGAACACCCTGGGAGAGTTACTGTTCTGGACATTCCGAGAAACTGATGTGCACCATGATGAGAGCCCCTGAAACCAGGCCCGGTGGAAACCTACCACACACAGTGGGGTTTCTGTGCAAGGGCGCTGGAACAGACTGATTGGGCGCAGCCCCACAAGGGCAGAATCAGGAATATACGGGGAAGGCGGGGGGCTCAAGCAAAGCCACTTCCACTCCAAATAAGGAAAAACCTGCAACAGTGCTCTCTCACAACTATGAGGAACACGGTGGCCTTAAGAAATGGCAGCAAGTGTCTTTAAAGGTGTGGAAGCAACAAGAAGAGTCATCTACCTGGAATGGCACGAAGGGTGGGGGAGAGGCTCTTGCACTGCAGAAGGGCTCCAGTTCCCATGGGACAGGAGCTGGAAGGAGGATACTCACGACTGGCTGCCCACTAACTTGTGGGCACCATACCCTACTCAGCCAGCTTTTGCAGAGCAAGCCCTTCATCCATCTCACGCTTCTACCTCCAAATGCATAAGCGGAGACCAGGCACAGGGTCAGCTCGGTGAAAAGCTGCTGCCTGCCAGCAACAATGCCCAGACTTCTGTGGATCGTACTCCACAGGACTGAGCAAGTCTGAGCTCTCCTCCACATCCCGCTCTGCTCCCAAAGGACACGCACCCTCCTTCCGAGAGTAGGTCTAAGCCAGGGTGTGTGCCTGTGGACAAGTGCTCACAAGCCCCTGGCTACAGCCACCTCTACACCAGCCCCAGCTACAATAAAGTAACTGTCCTCACGTCCGGCCCCTGGAGCCTCTATATCACCTATGTGGGCTCTCCAAACCTCTGAGTCTGTCTTAGCTCCTTGCAAAGGAAGACATCACTTGTATCTCCTCCTCAGAGAAGCTAGATCGGAAAGGTCTAAGGCTGCTTGGCTCCCCTGGGCATCTGTTTTTAAAATCAGTCTTGGCGATGCTATTCTAGCTCCAATGATGTGCTTCCCAAGCCCTCCATCAGTCACTGTGACGAACAGCCACTGCTGCCCTCCCAGTGCCTCTCTGCACGCTGCTCTGGAACAGAGCATCAGAGCCGCCACTCGGAAACTCACCTGTCATCATTGGCTCTCTGTAGGGCTCCCCCTCGTAATGAGCACAAACAGCAATCCTGCCAAGAAGGGACGGGGAGGAAGGGGGGTTACCACCAAGTCATTAACATCCAATCTGCTCTCTCCTTGGCCTCCTTTGGGTAACTGCAGCCTCCACATAAGAAAGCGGCTTACTGGCATGTGGGGCCTTGCCTACATAGTCCATGTAAGCAGGACTCCCCTACAGGAAGACAGGGAGACCACCCAGGGCTAAAGTACACCAAGTATTCGCTTGACTCAACATAATCCTCTTCGCTGTTCCTGCTAATAATAACTGGAAGCAGTCACCAAGAACACTCTGCTCAAACTGCAGGCATTACAGGGCTCTGCCTGCCTCCTACATAGGTACTGCTAAGTTCCGGGGCAGGGGCTGATGACGAGAAAGCTACCAAAAGAACCATGAGCCCCTTTTGATGACCCAACCCAATAGTGAGATTCTCTGAAGGGACTTACAGCTGGTCCTCAGGAGGACCTCTACGGGGTCCGGACACCATGTAGCTGACACAGCTTCCAGACCCCATTCATGGCCCACCACAGCTGGGCGGCAGCCACGCTGTCCTGGGGATTTATTCTGACAATCTGCCCTCTTTGCCATCACTGTGTACCAGGCACACTGTGCAGACTGTCGGAGACATGAAGTCCACATGAAAAAGCCCGGCCCTGAGCAAAGCCAAGTGTCACAGGGAAGACGAAACAGTGTGGACCACTCACCTCCTCCAGGGCATTAGCTGAACACCGAGAACACATCCAGTCTTCAGAAGCCTTTGCAGGGGGTACCCCGTAACAACCTAACAAGGACACCAAGATGAGCAAATTAAACCCAGAGGCCAGGGTGAGAATGTACACCTGCAACTCCTTTCCATACACTACCAGTGTGAAAGCTGCAACCAAATCTTACAGAAAAACCCCTGAATTCTAGAGTCAGGGACCTAAGGGCTCACCCATACAGCTCCGTCGCCCAAAGTCTCAAAAAGGCAGAGACTGTACATTGCCTGGTTTAAACACGTAGGGAGCAGCACAGACTAATCACCTCCTGGTATCTGAGGCCCAGTGAACAGCACAAAGTAGACCCCAAAGTCAGTGCAATTCCAAGTCCATCAGCAGCAAACTCCCCAACAACACAAGAGCAATCTGCAGTTGAGGGCCTGGGGAGGCCACTGGCAGGTTGGAGGGAGGCCAATATGGGGTGAGACCGGCACTGAGCAAGCCCAGGCGCCTGGGTCAGGTCGCAGGCGACAGGCAAGGCACTCACTGGCGTGGACACGGACACTGCACTTCTTGCAGGAAACGAGAAGGCTGGTGCCGTCCTCCTCAAGGTAAGGGGTAGAAAGGTTGATGTCCGTGCTGCAGCCAGTGGAGGTGAAACACATTTCTGGAATCAATGGCTTGGTCCTCTGCTTCTGGACAGCTAGAGCGGAAGTGTTTCCACAGCTCTGACTAAGGCCTCCAAACTCGACCTAAGGAGAGAGAGCAAGTGCATCCCTCAGCGAACACGCGCCTGTGTTCCCAGCTTTCTACCTGCTCTGTCAGCAGAAAGCTGCCTCTCTTACTGGCAGGACTCTGGCTACGGCTCCCGGTGCACAGCCATTATCCCAGGGCTGCTAATTGAAGTTACCTCTAATGACTCAAATTCAATTTCTCACAGCAGCATCAAACAGAGGCCCCTGGGGACAACTGAGAAAAGGGAGTGAGGTAAGAGGCAATTGGGAGTTCCATCTTCCCAAACCAAGTAGTAATAAGACGCGCTGAGATGTTAGCAAGGTCGCTCTTGTGGGCTCCCCGATGTGCGGCACCGCATGGCTGGCCCCACCCAGGGACAAGACCTGGAGCAGACACTCCTCGTGGACTAGAACAGATGTTCCCCCAGGGCCCACAGCAGCGAGTCACCTGAGCTGCAGCACTGCCACGCGGCTAGACCCCCACCTGGGACATCCGGATCAGGGTCCCTTCGTAAAGAATGCTACGCCCACGTACTTCCCTTGGCAAACAGCCTGACTGCCAGGATCTGCCGGCTCTACAACCATTCCAAGGACAGGGCCCTAAATATGTCAACCCGAGGCACAGGCCCCTCCTGAAGCTCTGAGACCCACGCAGTGAGGGTCTGCTGCCAGCACCACGAGGCCATTCGCCTGTCTCACAGGCAGGGGCACATATATTTCTTCAGTTTTGCATTTTTGTCAATGGAAAGGCACAGCCAGTTACTAATCCAAAATATGTCAGTGCGACGTCCCAGTCTTTGGCAAGCGTCAATCTGGGGCCACGCCAGGCTCAGTGCAGCCAGGCCTCCACAACCACCAGAGGATGCTTCTCCACCTCCCTCCCTGCCCCCCTCCCCCCGGTTCCTTCTGACTATTGCCCGTGTCCACTGTGGCAATGGCAAGAGGACGACACTGTGGATCTGGCAGACTGCAGTAACGAAACGCAGTGCTCCAGACTAGCCGGGACGAAAAACCGCCTGGAAGGAACATGCACCAACCAGAATGCTAAGAGAACAGATTCCTCCGTGAACAGTGTGAATGCCACAGGATGGCCACAGGGCATCCCACCGAGGCTAAGCCACACACACACACACACACACACACACACACACACACACACACACCCCGCCACCTCTCTTCAGCAAACCGTTCTCCAGTGAAAACCCACATTGCTGGACTATCTGCCTGGAGAAGCCTAACCAGTAGGACACAGATGAGGCAGAGAGCGCTAGAAGAACAGGCTCTCCCAAGACAACCAGTGACAAGCTCTGTGTACCCACAGTTAAACCTGGCTTCCCTCTGGACTGCTGGGCCTGAATACACAGTGAGGATAAAGGGGGCGTACCTGATGGTAGGTCTGAAAGATCATACAGACTGCACAGTGAGGGGCCTGCTGGGCCATGGTCTCATTGAATTCCTTCTCGGCCTCAAAGTTCGGAGGTCGGTTCTGCCATAGTTGACTCAGGGGCTTGGCCCAGGCCTCTGTCTCCTCAGCCTCCTCCTCCGGGGTCAGCTGTTCGGATGACTCTAGAGCAGGAAGCAGAGAACGGGTCAGCACCAGCCCCGCACATCAGCAGCTCTGCCTAGAGAGACAATGAGCTCCCTGGATTCTTGGTCCCAGGTCTGGCCTAAACCTCAGATCCTACCAGTCTGATAAAGGCAAAGGGCAGAAGTGATTTCCAAAAGACTCCTTCAGTACTCAGAAGGTACTGCAGACAGTCCTGCCTGTGCCGCCTTCTCTGGTTAAGCTTTATACCCGAGTTCAGCCCACTCTCCTTTCCCCTGGCAGCTGCCAGCACTCAAATCCTATGCCAGAAAGCAGCACAGTGAGACACAGTCTTGCCAGAAACCATGTTACTTGCTGCCTCCAATGTGCCAGCATGTTGAGTCCCTACCTTTAAGAGTTTCCTCTATAGCTGCACTGAAGGGAAATAAGGAACAAAAATAACAAAGAAATGGCAAGGCTTCCAAGTTTCTACACCATGTGCCTTGGTCAGAACTTTCCAGCTCCCTCAGGAAAGATCTGTGGGATATCTGTCTTTTCTGGACAGGGATCCCCAACCATCCTGGCTCTGCTCAGAGGATGAGAGTAGACTGCGACCAAGACAAACCCTCTTTCCCAGCCAAAGGATGTAGCACCTTGAGTCTAGACCAAGGCCTAGCACACAATGGCCCACAGGACAAATGTGATCCACTTGGGGAACTAAGAATTATTTTTCTATCTTTAAAAGATTAAGGGAAAGAAAGAAAGAAGAGTATGTGACAGAAGGTGAAAAGCCTGAAATATTTACTATGCGGTCTTTCCCAGACCTCTAGTCTGTATGACAAATCTGTATCTCTTCATCACCCTAGCCAGCAGAACATCTGACTCAGCGGGCCTCAGCGCTGCCTGAGGAAGGATAAAGAAAGAGACATACTGCTGAACAGAAAACAAAAAACTGTGCTCGTAAAACAAGATGGAAGGGATAAAAGTGCACACTTTCCAGTTCCCCTTAAATCAGTGAGATGGGGGACGCCTGGGTGGCTCAGTTGGTTAAGCAGCTGCCTTTGGCTCAGGTCATGATCCCAGCGTCCTGGGATCGAGTCCCACATCGGGCTCCTTGCTCATCAGGGAGCCTGCTTCTTCCTCCGCCTCTGCCTGCCATTCTGTCTGCCTGTGCTTGCTCTCTCTCCCTCTCTCTCTCTGACAAATAAATAAATAAAATCTTTAAAAAAAAAAAAATCAGTGAGATGGGCAGAGCCCACCACATTCCAACAGAAGCAAGGTCAAGGAGGTAGGAAAACACTGTAACTCTAAGATTATGGGTCAATGAAGACAGTCTTTGGTAAAAGGAACCACAAATACTGAAATAAACTAATCCACAGTGTTTCTCCAGATGCTCCCCCAAGTGAGGCAAGTACAAGAGGTTACATTTGGGATGTCCTTCTTTGGCAAATGAGTCCAAAAAAAGGTCCAAGTAGGCAGCACCTGACAGGAGACCAGCTCTGTGCCAGCCACACCACGTGACGCCCTCCATGGGATCACTGTATCATGCTACGTGCGGGCATTAGGAATCCTCAGCTACAACCCCTCCAGTGATCCCACTGCTTCCAAGATAGAACCGCTCTGAAGAGGCCCTGTACAGATCTATGCAGAGCAGCCCAGGAACACCCTGGTACATACCTACACTAGCTCGCATTTACTTATTCATTTCTGGCAACTCTGGCTCAGTGTACAAAGTTACCTACTCGGCCTTCATAGTCACGTTGACTCTACTGAGACCTGGCAGGCACCATGTGTATGACCTCGGTGAAGTACACTGTAACGTCGTGAGGCCACTACAGACAACTAAAATCAGCCCCTACAAGCCCCATCGACCAGCCCCAGCCAGGAACCACGGTGCCGAAACCAAAGCAGGTATTTTCCTTACCCTGGCCAAAACAAGAGTGACCAAGATAGAATAGAAGAAACAGAAACAGCCTCCCAATCCAAGAGAAAAACTAACACAGTGACGTGCTCTGTTTATAAAACCACGAGTGGCCAAAAATCACCCCACTTAGATGTTAAATGAAACTTGCAGGAATTTTACAGTTTACACATACAAAACATCATTGAGATGTGCAAACAAGACGTATGTAATTTCAAGACTATTTATGCCTCCATTAAAAAAAACTGGATAAGGGGTGTGGGGCACACGCTAGACTAAGAGAGACTAAAGAAACAAAGCTTTGTGATGGGATTGGGAGGGAGACAAACCATAAGAGACTCTTAATCTCACAAAACAAACTGAGGGTTGCGGGGGGCGGGGGGTTTAGGGAGAGGGTGGCTGGGTGATGGAAACTGAGGAAGGTATATGCTATGGTGAGTGCTGTGAAGTGTGTAAACCTGGCGATTCACAGATCTGTACCCCTGGGGCTAATAATACTTTATATGTTAATAAAAAAATAAAAAATTAATCTTTAAAGAAACAAAGCTTTGAAATGGGTGACCCTGGTTTGGTTTATACTGGTTTAAAGGGAAAAAGCTATAAAACACATTTTTGGGGTAAGCAGGGAAAAATTAAAACGGGCTGAAAATGGGAGAAGATGGGAGAATCCGCTGCTGGATACGGGAGTTTTCATTCCTCCAACTTCTCTGCACTTGAAACTGATCATAAAGAGCAGAAGGCCGTATGTTATGATCTCAACTACATTATTATAAAAAGACATGCATGGATACAATCCAGTATTTGACTAGAAAAATCAGGAAGATTAACACACTGAAACATGCAAGTGGTCACCTTTGCACAGTAATTCTGTCCACTTTATAACTTTGTTTTTCCAATTGTCTACAACCTGTATTTAGAGCTTCTATAGCACTGGGGCTGGAAATCCTGAAGCTAGGGTGCTGCTACCCAGAGAACCCAAGCCCTCTCTGGGCCAGAGCAAGAGCACAGAAGACTTCCTAAGACTCTGACTCAAGGTATGGCCTTGAATCTCAAGAGACTTTCCCCACCTACTTATCACAATCCTACCACCGAGGGAAACAGCAGAGGTGGGCACCAGCATCAGATCAGAAAGAGAACATGGGGCTTGCTTATGGAGCAGAGAGGCTGGCCTGACTCTGGATCTTCCCAGCCAGAACTGGTGCCAGGAAGGATGGGGCAGGGTAAGAAAGGGCCCGGCATTAGGCAATTTTAACAAGGACCTGCCAGAGACTCACCCACGCACGCTCACATTCCTGGAACTCTGAGCTCCAGGCTGCATAAAAGACCACACTGAGCTGATGGCAACAACCCTGAGCTCCAGCGATAGACGAAGTTCCCAGTTCCACCCCGATCCCTGCCTTTCCCCTTCTGTCTCCGTCACAGGCCCCTCTTCCTGCCCTCCTACCCCAGCCTCTGCCCTCTCCCCGGCAGCCTCACGTACTCCAGGTAAAGGCATCAAACAGACAGTAGCTACACTTGGTCAGCACAGCGTAACACAGTTGTCCCGTGTCAACTACACTTCAAGTAAAAAAAAAAAAAAAAAAAAGTTTTATAAAAATTTTTAATATTTATTTGAGAGAGAGAAAGCAAGCACAGGGGTTAGGGGCAGAGGGAGAACAAAAGGAAAGGAATCTCAAGCAGACCCCACTGAGTGCAGGGCCTGGCACAAGGCTCTATCCTATGACTCCTGAGATCATGATCTGAGCTGAAATCAAGAGTCGGACACTTAACCAACTGAGCCATCCAGGTGCCCCATCCTGAATAATTTTTTTTAAAAAGGTATCAAACACCACCTCTGCTTGGCCCCAAGTCTACATCCTCCACAGACACTGAACAAAGGTTTCTAATCCCAACCAAAGCTAGAAGGCAAGGAGGCACTGAACTCAGGTTTCTCCAGTCCCTACCACACTCACAGGTCTACACCCAACCCCCAAATCCAACTGACTTTGTGCTCCCAACACCTTCACTACATCCCTCCCCCATCCTTACCACCATCATCCTCCTTCAGACCCTCCCCTGTCTCTCGGAGACCAAGACAAAAGCCCATCTGTTGCCCTCAAAGCCATTCTCAAGAAGCAGTCACTAGGAGCAATCCTTTTAATGTCAGTCTGGCCACTTAAAACTCACTAGAGCAAGGCCTCCCTCTTCAGTCTCCCCCAACCTCACTCTGGCCCCACCCAGCACACCGTGACCTGGCCAAAATGAGCAGCTCCCTCTGAATCTCTCTTTGCGCACCCTTCTGTGCTGTTTAACATCTCCTTTCTTTGGATCTGTTTACCTGTCAAGTTTGCCCCACTACCTTGTGAGCTTTTTGAGGGCATGGACATATCTTAGTTATCTCTGTAGCTACACATTCAGCATTGGGCTTGGCATCATTGACAGAAGTGCTATCCAGAAAAATCAGCCTGTACCTCCTAATAGAGAAAGAGAGAACTCTGCATGCGATCACCCTGTATTAGACACATTACAAGATACACAGACATACAAAGAAATATGATTACAAATTAAGCATCAAGTGAGATCCTGTCCTCTTTGCGGAGTACCTGGGAGAAGAGCTAAAGCCACTGGCCCACCGCTGACACTCAGCTGGGCCTGCCAATGTCCTGTCACTGCGAGTCCTAATGGGGTGAAACCCTTTCCTCTTCCTGGTGAGGAGGGAAAACAACACTTACCATCATCACTGACGCAATCCTGCAACACGAGTGGGTGATGGCGGGGGAGCTTGCTTAAGGGCTGACGACGGCCCTTGGACTTCTTGTTCTCCTCCAGGGAAAACATGTATTCATCCGCCACCTGGGCAAAGCACAAGAAGAGATCAAATTGGTCTTGCCTCCACTTTGGGACATAGCAGAAGTTGGTCTTACAATGAAAGGCAAGGGAAAGAACAGGCACCGAGAGACACAAAGAAATATAAAGCCAAACAGAACACACCTGGCTTTGGAAAAACCAAAACGACAGTACCGTGCAAACTAAACTAGGATTATGTAAACATTTTAGGGCAAAATTTGTGCCTCGCAAGTGTGGCTCCTGTTCCTCTCAGAAGCAGCCTGAAACAAATGTACCAAAAATAAATGTACTCTACAGGAATGCCACGCCCCCTCCCTTAAGCTCACAGTCATGAGACTGCATCTCCCAGAACCCCAGAGAAACCAGGTGCCCCTTTTCTTGGACCAGAAGGGCAGCAGTACCTGTCACAAAGGGCCAGGAAGCTAGGCCATTGGACTTGTAAAGCTAGAGGACATCCGAAGGGGTGAGGAATAGCTGACCCACTAAAGTAAAATAGGCCAGCCTCTCCTGATGGGCTGTCAAGCCCTCAGCTCTAGCTGATACTGTTCATTCCTCAGTTAGTTTCCTCGTGGAAACAGGACAGAGTGCACATCTAAAACTCCAGCCTAGGGGCACCTGGGTGGCTCAGTGGGTTAAAGCTTCTGCCTTCAGCTCAGGTCATGATCCCAGGGTCCTGGGATCGAGCCCCGCGTCGGGCTCTCTGCTCCGCAGGGAGCCTGCTTCCTCCCCTCTCTCTCTCTGCCTGCCTCTCTGCCTACTTGTGATCCCTCTCTGTCAAATAAATAAAATCTTAAAAAAAAAAAAATTAAAACTCCAGCCTAGCTACAAAAGCAAAAGTCAATGTAATTAGCGCTGTATTTAGATAATGGCAGAGCAAATGCAATTAGGTTTAGGATGTACAAGACAGAGTCAGTAATACCACATGAGTTTCTTTCCAATCAATATATTTAAAACTCAGTCAGCCTCTCAGAAAAAGCACTTTACAAAGTACAATACCCATTCATGATCAAAATCCTCAACAGAGTAAGTTTAGAGGGAATGTAACTCAACATAATTAAGGCCATATATGAAAATCCACAGCTAACATCCTCAATGGGAAAAAACAGAGCTTTTCCTCTAAGATCAGGAACAAAACAAGAATGTCCAGTCTCCTCACTTTATTCAACAATACCGGAAGTCCTAGCCACAGCAATCAGACAAGAAATAAAAGGCACCCAAACTGATAAGGAAGTAGTAAAATTTTCACCACTTACAGATGACACAATACCATATACAGAAAACCCGAGATGCCACCAAAAAACTGCTAGAACTGATAAAGGAATTCAGTAAAGTCACAGGATACAAAATCAACCTACAGAAATCTGCATTTCTATACACCAATAATGAAGCAGCAGAAAGAGAAATTAAGAAAACAATCCCCTTTACAATTATGACAAAATAATAAGATACCTAGAAATAAACTTAACCAAAGAAGTGACAGACCTGAAAAATAGAAAACAGTGATGAGGGACGCCTGGGTGGCTCAGTTGGTTAAGCAGCTGCCTTCGGCTCAGGTCATGATCCCAGCGTCCTGGGATCGAGTCCCGCATCGGG